CCAGGACCACATTGTGGTTAAGGACACAGTGCATGCAAAACCTTGGGGCTTGAAAGTGAGCCACAGATCAGTCAGAGGTGGAATGGGGACGGGAGGGAGAGAACAAGGCAGGGTCCGGCTGAGTGTCAGGCTCAGGTCTGCACTTTCTCCAAAGCCAGTGGGAACCAGGAGGAGTCCAGTTGAGGGAAGATCAGGGGGGATAATGAGAGCCAAGAAGGGATACTGGAAGAAACTGGGGAGGAGTCCCTGGGCATTAGTGGTCAGCGTAGAGTAAGGGCAGGGTCAAGGAGGAACAGGTGACAGGAGGGTCCTCTGCTTTCCTGGGCTTGTCCATGACCTTAACTGTAGGTCTAGTCCTTGTCGTTGGAGGCTGGGGCACAGCCCTGGGTTGGTGGGGGCTGGCCTTGAGTGGGGCCTGCTATCCCTGCCCCATCTGTACCTCCAAAGCTCTTTCTGGACTGGGACCCTTTTGCCACTCCAGTTCCCTTGACTGATTCCATCTGGGCAGACCACTGGGGACACCAGCCTCGCAGGGCCAGCCCAGCTGCCACCCACCCATCTCCCCCAGCCAAGGCCAGCCCTGCTTCCTCCTGCTGAGCATGTGCCTTCCTGTCTCTGTAGAGCCGCTTGTTTTCCGTTCCTTTGCTCATTACTAGCCCATTGGGCAGAGTCAGAAAGGTGAGCGATGGGCATGCCTGTTTATAAAGGCCCAGCCAGGAGACAGTTTGGCTTGTTGGGTTTTCTTTTGGCAACATTATTTATTTTAAGATTTATTTATTTTTATTGGAAAATCAGATATACAGAGAGGAGGAGAGACAGGAAGATTCTCTATCTGATGATTCACTCCCCAAGTGACTGCAATGGCTGGCGCTGTGCCTATCCGGAAGCCAGGATCCAGGAACTTCCTCCGGGTCTCCCACGTGGGTGCAGGGTCCCAAGTCTTTGGGCCATCCTTGACTGCTTTCCCAGGCCACAAGTAGGAAGCTGGGTGTGAAGTGGAGCTGCCAGGATTAGAACCGGTGCCCATGTGCAATTCCAGAGCGTCCAAGGCACGTTTAGCCACTAGTCCATCGTGCCAGGCCCAGCAACATTAAAGCACAAATCCTACATGGTGTCAACATACTAGAGAATGCATTACTGGGTATTACCCACCGTGGCGTAGCAAGTTAAGCCGCTTCTGGCAGCACGTGTATCCCAAGTCCCAGCTGTTCCACTTTCAATCCAGCTCCCTGTTAATGCTCCTGGAAAAGTAGCTGAGGATGCCAAGTCCTTGGGCTCCTGCTACTCACCTGGAAGTCTGGGATGGAGTTCCAGGCTCCTGTCTTTTGCCAGGACCAGCTGTGGCTTTTGCATGTGTTTTTTTGTTTTGCTTCTTTTCTCTCTGTCACTCTGCCTTTCAGATAAGTAAACAAATGAATCCATGCATACACACAATTTCTAGTAAAAAGAAAGGAAGGAAGAATATACATTCCTGTACCCCGTGGTAGGGGCCTCCCAGGCCACATGTCTCCCACCACGCCACAACGCGCGTGTGATGTGTGGAGCTCACGTTTGTGACGTCGGCCCCATATGCCTTGGAACTCTGGCCACAGAGTCATCCTGATCATCTTGGGAAGGCTAAGGACTGTCCAACAGCTTTGCAGTTGTCCCAGAGGTGGTGATCCACCCGCCCTGGCCTGGCCTGGCTGTTGCCATCCCTGGTTTCAGGGCCGAGGGCAGAGTGGGGAGCCAGGTCCATAGCGCTCATCCCTGGGCCTGCGAGCCAGCTCAACCCTGCCTTCTCCAGATCTTCAGGAAGGAAGATAGGAGTTTGGGGTTTCACTCTGCAGAAAGGTGGATGAGTGTGAGTCCTCAAGGTCAGGCCTGGGCCCAGCCAGGGTGAGGGGAAAGAGTGGATAGTGTCACGCAGGCTCCCTGTTTCCAGGTGACCTTACCCTCATTTTCTGCCTTCATGTGTGTGTCTGTGTGGGCTGCTCCTGGCTCGCTGATCCGTCTCCGTCTATTTGGAGGCGTCAAGCAGGCTAGGTGCAGCCTGCCATGTCCTGGCTGTGTGATCTTAAGCTGTTCACTTAACCTGCCTGGCCCTTGGGTTATTCATCAGTGAATCCTTCCTCCAGGACCTGTGTGGGCATCGAGCGAGCTCGGAAGAGAGAGGGCAGTCCTCCCCAGGAGAGAGGGAGCTGAGGCTCACCTCTGCACCCTTTGTGCTGTCTGCTTTCTGGGCGTCTCCAGAGGGCCAGGGAAGCAGGGAAGTGGAAGCTGAGAGCCCGCAGGCAGCTGGGAAGGGCCTGGCTGGTGTCAGCTGCCTCCAGAGAGCTGGTTCCCACGAAGCACCCCGTGGGGTCCGGCCCCTGCCACCCCAGGGCCCGGCAGAGCAGCTGTGAGTCTGAGGCTGAGACAGTGGCTCAACTTGGGAGCCCATGGGCCTGGGCCTATTTGCATGGAGGCTATAAATAGTGGGCACACCTTGGTCCCATGCTGCTGCCTCACCCCTGCTGTTGAAACTCTTCAAGGTAAGGGACCAGACCCTGACTCTGCTGTGCATGGAGCAGAGCAGTGGTCCAGAAAGGCTCATGAACTCTGTCACTCAGGGTCACACGGTGGTGGAAGCAGTTACTGACTTGTCATCTGTCTGCCCCCGGGAGTGGTCTAGGTCTGTGGGTGCAGTTGAAAACAGAGGCAGTGGGAGCAGCTGGCCAGGACCCATGACTTCAGTGTTAGCCCTAGGACACTGGACGGGGTGATATGACCAGGGTTACTGTCGGGTGGCATGTGGTAGCCCATGAAGGCCACGGATCTCCTGTCTTCATGGCACTGTGGCCTGGCTCTGCAGGTTTAAGGCTGGGGCCCGGGCCTGCTGTGGTTGTGGTTATGGTTTCCTTCCAGTGGCTTCTCACTGAGTAGCTGCTCTAAGTGTGGCCATGGAGGGCTGGGGGTGGGGTGGGGTGGGGGAGTTGTTGCTGGCAGGGCTGCATCCCGCCTTGCCAACCTGGGGATTCTCTCACCCAAGAGGCAGGCTCCACAGAAGCCCCACACCCTGCAGGCCCCTGGGGCTAGGACAGAGGGAGGCAGAGAAAGGAGGTGCACCAGAACTCCGACCTGAGCTTCCAAATATTCCTGGAGGCTTGGTTTGCCTCTATGAGAAGTGGGCTAGTAACCAGGGCTTCTTCTCAGGCTCCTGAGCAGGCTGCTCCCCATCTACAGGATGGGGAGACCAGAGTCGGTAGGCCTATGGCTATGTGCCCAAGCAGCCTGACCTCTGATCTTGCCACCTGGGCTGCCCTGGGCTCCACAGGACACTCACTTCTCTTTCACGCTCATCTCTCTTCTCACTGGGCACTCATGCCAGGTCCCCAGGGTACCAGTTGAGCTTCTAGGTTATCTGACCCAGAAGCACGAGACCTCGGGGCCAGTGTGTGCCAGCAGGGCCAGGCGAGGCAGTAGAGGGACCACGCGTCATCCTTACCTGACAACTGGGGCCCTCACCCAGACCCCAGTTGGAGGCCTGGCCCTGGCAGCCGCCCCTCAGTGCCCAGCACAGGCCTGCCACCCCTCAGGGCTCACAGGTGCACTCACTCATCCCTGCGTCTGCTCACTCTCACACATACCTGTCACACCAGCTGCATCCCACACACATAAACACACATTCCTCCCTATGCCAGCCCAAGCAGGAGCCCACGGCCAACACCCCCTCCCCGTTCACCAAGGGGTTATGGTAATGTGCAAGTAAGTGCCCTGGCTCCGGCACCCAGCACCTACCTGCTGGTTTCAGGATGAAAATTTTGGGCACTGGTCTCAGGCATGAGCTTATGTACCCTCTCTCTCTCACACCCACCCACTGGCAGCCAAGCCCAGGCAGGGGTCGTGACAGGGTCTGTAGTCCCCTCCTGGCTCCTCTTGGCTGCTCTGGCTGCTGGTCTCTGAGGGCCAGCTAGGTCCACTGAGCTGGGCAGGCTGAGGTCAGAGTTCCCCGTGAGCTCACCTGATCTGAGAGCTCCCAGCAGACCTGCCTGGCGCTCTTACTGCCTTGTGGAGGAGCCACCTCCAGGTCACTGTTAGGTGTGCACGCACACATGGGCAGTGTGTGGGTGCAAGTCAGCTTTGGCTATGGTGCTGGCTTGCGTTCAGGATGGACTGAGTCTGTGTGTGTGTGCCTATGTTCATGGGAGCTAGTGTCTGCAGGTGTCTGAGTGCACCGGATGTGTAGGCTTGTACACCTGAATGCTCTCCGCAGATGGCAACCCAAGAGGGCTCTCTGAGTCATGTCCCATCATGGTTTGGGGGACAACAAGGAGCCAGGGAGTGTGGGACCCAAGCAAAGCACACTGGGCCTTATGTTGGATCTTAAACTACAGTTTCACATTGGAAGAGTTGGTCTGGAAACAAATGACCTTCCTGGGAGGTGGGAAGCACTGGACTGGGTGGAGCTTGAATTCAGAAAGATTGGGTACGCTGGTGCAGGCAGAATCTGTCACTACCCCTTCTCCCACCCCTGGCCTTGCACAAAGTGGGTGCTAAGTCGGCGGATACCTGACCACCTGTTCTGATCTGACCTCGGAATTTCAATTTCCCCTTCTATGAAGTGGGTGTGCTCCTCCCAGCCTCACTTATCTGATCAGCAGCTGGTGTCATGTGGCTGCCCAGCTGAGTGTCTCAGCATCCCAGCTTCAGGGCCTCCAGGGCCCAGGTAGGGTTTGGAGAGGAGAGGAGAGGGTGCCCCTGGCCTGGGGTACACTGGCTTAGGGGGCAGCCTTCCAGGGCGTGTTGGCTGGCACGCAGCAGCAGGCCTGAGGTTGCATCCCCAGGCATTATCACCAGGGACATCAGACTTACATAAAGCTCCTTGATTTTCAGCTTGAGCCACAGGGACCAGTGCATTGTAGATTCCTTGGGGACCAATTCCAGTGGTGTGAGAGTCCTGGAGCTGTGGGCCCCTGAGGCACTCCCCGATTGTCCCCAGTGACCTGGGCTCATTCCTGTGCATGGGTGTGTGCATACAGGCCCTGCCATGGCGCCCTTCCTGCGTATCTCCTTCAATTCCTACGAGCTGGGCACCCTGGAGGGCGAAGGTGAGGAGAACCAGCCCTTCTGTGCTGTGAAGATGAAGGAGGCACTCAGTACAGGTAGGACAGGGGCCTGAGGAGGGCCTTGCCTTGTGCCCTGGGACCCCCGGGGGATCTTTTTCTCCCTTGTCCTCTCTGTGCCCCCCAACCCCAACTCGGGCCCAGGGGCCAGTGGCCACTTAGTCCCCTTTGGGCCTGAAACACTGGCAGGACCAAACCCTCTTTGGAGTGTGGGCCTCATGGAATGGCTTTGTGAATTGTTCCCCCAGCAATTTGCATGGCACACGTGTGCATCTGTACCAAGCCCTGGGATGGGCATTGAGGCCCTGCTCTCAGCTGGCTGACAGAGGAGCCCAACACTTCAATAGGCAGAAAAGCTCAGAGAAGGCATCATTTCAGCCTGGAGTCAGGGAGGACTTCCCAGAGGAAGCACACATTATTTCCTCTTGCTTCTGCCCTCATTTGGCAAATTCCTGCTCATCCCTCAGGTCTCGGCTGAGCTGCGCCCTCTTCCAGGAAGTCTGCCCTGACCATTAGGCTGAGGTAGATCACTGCACTGTGGGCAGGTAGTTCTAGAGCAGCTGTGATGTAGCGGTTACCTGGGGGATGAGTGTCTGTCAGAACCAGGGCTCCAGGTGCTGTGCACCTACGCTGAGTGAGGCTCTCCCTTCTGCTGCAGTCTGCACTGTCGGTGCTCCCCACTATGTCACTGTGTGGGAAAGGGGATGGTAACGTGGTTCCTGTGGCAAGAGCACAGGTCTCCAGGTGGACCTGGCAGTAGCTCTATGTCCCAGGGAGGGGAGAATAGCTGCAAGGGGGCCCCAGGGCAGACGAGGCAACAGATTCCACCTGAGCTGGAGGCTGGGGAGGTGCTGGGACAGGGATGGAGGGGCGGGGGCTCCAGCCTGTCGGTCCCTGGCAGAGCGCGGGAAGACACTAGTGCAGAAGAAGCCAACCATGTACCCAGAGTGGAAGTCGTCGTTTGACGCCCATATCTACGAGGGCCGCGTCATCCAGATCGTGCTCATGCGGGCGGCTGAAGAGCCCGTGTCTGAGGTGACGGTGGGCGTGTCGGTGCTGGCGGAACGCTGCAAGAAGAACAACGGCAAGGCTGAGTTCTGGGTGAGGGCTGTGGGCAACATGGGCGTGTGCGTGTGCGTATGTGTGTGTGTGCTCAGGCCTGGAGAGCGCCGCACAACTTCCCAGTCAGTGCAGCTCTGGCTGGAATCCGTGGAGGGTGAAGCTTCTGGAAGCCCCCTCCCTCAGAGTCATTGTCCCCTGAGTAAACAGCCACCAAAGCTGGTTGTAGAAGCTGACAGGGGCAACCGAGGACGACTCTATGCCCCAGTGCCAGACCACTTCCCTCCCAGAGCCGCCCATTGTCCCAGTTCTTTTTGGAATCTTAGCAAACATTCCGAGCCCAGGCAGGCCTCGGAGACAACCCGGTTATCTTGAAGGCTGAGGAGGTAGAGGGAAGAGGAAAGCTGATGGCCTGTCCCACTCACCTGCAACCGAGTGTGACTGCACGGCCTCAGGCAGCTGCGATGGGCGTTTGGCGGCCGCAGGACCCCAGAACCGGCAGAACCCGCTGGGATTACACTTGGGCCATGACAGCCAATGGTGTTTCCACTGGAAAAGGCCTGGTGACCTGCAGAGGCCCTAGGTCAGCTTCCAGCGGCGGGGGCAGGTGCCCGCCTGGGAGAGAGGCAGAGGGGGCCCTGGCTGTGTGCTCTGTGCGCCTCTTGTACACCTCGAGAAGTGGCCTGGGGGAGCTGAGAGGTTCCTTGTTTGGGCTCCACCCTGCAGACCATCTGGTCTCTGTGTGAGGAGCCCTGGGGCAGAGGGGAACTGTGGGTGCATTAAGGAGCAGGGGTCCACGTGGAGTCTCCCCACGTGTGCACGTGAACTTGGCTGCCTGCATTCTCGGATCCTTACTGGGGGCAGCAGGGGCAGGGGTGGGGGATTTCCCCTGTTGCTCAGCTCGTAGGCCATGTGTGAGCTGGACCCTTTCACTTCCCCTAAGGTAATAATACCCCCTGGGAGCAGGGTGGGGGTGGGGCTCAGGACTGGTGCCCCGCCCACACTGGGCAAGACAGACTGGGCAGCCAGGGTTCTGGGGCTCCCTCGGCCTCAGGGACCCACCATGGGGGCGGGTTCTGAGTCTACTTTGGCCCAGGCCCGCCCTCACTGACCTTCCTACTGTTCATCCCTGCTTCTGACAGCTGGACCTGCAGCCCCAGGCCAAGGTGTTGATGTCTGTGCAATATTTCCTGGAGGACGGGGGTGAGACCTGCTCCTTTGAGGTTGGGGCTGGGCACTGGAGGCTGGCTCACCTGCTGGGTTCAGAGACCAAAACCAGCTTTGGGGCTTTAGGGAAGCAGCCTCCCCGATCCCTGAGTGTATTCAGGGCCACCCTGGGGGGGACTGCAGGGCTGCTACCCCCGCCCTGGGATGTGCAGGTTCACCTCCCCCCCGCAACACTCCTTCCCCCAGACTGCAGACCATCTTTGCGTGGGGAGGACGAAGGCATGTTGTCGACCATCAACCGCCGTGGGGCCATCAAACAGGCCAAAATCCACTACATCAAGAACCATGAGTTCATCGCCACCTTCTTTAATCAGCCTACCTTCTGTTCTGTGTGCAAGGAGTTCGTCTGGTGAGGCCTGACTTTGCCCTCTGGGGCGGCACTGACCGGGATGCACCAGGGTCCCCTCTCCCCTTATACTCCCTGTCCGGGACTTGCCTTTCAGGGGTCTCAACAAGCAAGGCTACAAATGCAGGCGTAAGTGTCTCCACCTCCCTCTCTCAGCTCCAGCACCTGTGCACATGCAGTCAACATGTCCCCAGGTGTTGTTGGGCCAGCACCTCTGGGCAGGGGGTGTGTGTATGCACATGTCAGTGTAGGTGTGTACACAGATATGTGTGCATGTCTATATGTGAGTGTGTGCATATCAGTGTGTTTGCCTATGTCTGCATTTCTGTATGTGAATGCACAGGTCTGTGCAGGTGTGTGTGTGTGCAGATTGTGCAAGTCAGTCTGTGTAGACAGATCTATGGATGTCATGTGTTTGTAAACATCTGTGTATGCACATTTACATGTGAGTGTGGACGGGTCTGTGCATGTGTGTACACAGGTGCCTGTTTGACAAGTACCTGAATCTCTTGCCAGATGCGTGTTAGGCATATGACATGGGGCGTCCCACGAAGCGGTTAGACCTTTGCCAGCACTCTCGCTGGCTGGTGTGTGTGTGCAGCTGGGTGGTGTCTCACCACACACAGGTGGTTCTGCGGGCCGCTGCTTGAAGCCCAGCTCTGCCACATCCTCGCTGCAGGCCTTAGACAAGCTCACTCTGTCTTTCTGCGGTGCAATTTCCCTGTCCATAAACTAGGGCTGAAAGGGTTATTGTGAGGATCAAATGGGAATAAAATGTGGGTGCACAGTAAGCATTCAGTGTAAGGAATCCTGTCACGCATGGGTCGTCTGCATGGACAGGTGTCTCATGTTTGTGTGTCAGATGCTTGTCAGAGAGCTTATTAGCAGCTTGCTGTCCTGGAGTGCAAGAGATGGAATGGGGGCCCCTTTCTTTTTGTTTTCCTGACTGTGAAGCTTGCTCCACTGGGAGCTTCTGCCCACTGGGAGCTCGCAGCTTGGCCTGTCCTCCCTGGCCCGGCCTTCCCAGGCCCGTCCTGCGAGAGTTGGCGGGAGTAGAGAAAACTCAGGACTCTGGGCCCAAGGCCTCTGTCGGGTGAGGGTGTGGGCGGTTAGGGAGAACGGTGGCTTTGTGTAGAGGGCTGGCCTGGGCCAGTGGCGCCAGCTCACAGTCTCTGCCCCTCCTGGTACCTTCCCATCCCCCTCCCGTGCCCGGATCTCTGACTCTTAAAGAATGTAACGCTGCCATCCACAAGAAATGCATTGACAAGATCATCGGCCGGTGCACCGGCACAGCAGCCAACAGCCGGGATACCATAGTGAGCTGGGACCAGGGACTGAGCGGCCTGGCCGCCAGGGGCTCTCCCAGTGGGTGGGTGACGGGAGGTTCCTGGCTCTCCCACCTCTTCCCTGTGGGGCTCCACTTCTCTCGGTTTTCCTCCATCCTGTGTGTCCTTCTCTGGCTGGGGGTGCAGCTAGGGAGCAGGGGCTGGGCCGGCCGTGGCACGTGACCTCTGCCCGTGATGCTCCCTTCCTCCTCCTCCGAGTTCCAGAAAGAACGCTTCAACATCGACATGCCGCACCGATTCAAGGTTCACAACTACATGAGCCCCACCTTCTGCGACCACTGCGGCAGCCTGCTGTGGGGGATCGTGAAGCAGGGCATGAAGTGCGAAGGTGTGTGCCTGCCACCCTGGGCCACCTCTATTTGTGCAGACAACAGGGGTGGGGTTTCCTGTGTGCCCCTTGGTCTCCAGTGTAAATTGTGGGCAGGAGGCCGGAGGGGACGGGGAGGGGGATTAGAACCTGGAGAATCCCCGTGAGGAACAGGTCAATAGGAGGTGCCTAACTGGGGCCTCCTGGGCTCATCTAGATTGTTCCTGAATCTTCTGCTTTTCCTTGAAATCATGGAAGATTCAAAACACTGGTGATGGGTTCACATACACACACAGCACACTCTCCCTCCACATACCTCTAAGCCCTCCTGTCTCCTGCCCCCGTCACCTCCCTCCCACCCTTGCCCTTGCCACCCCTGCCCTTGCCCGAGCCCTTTCTCCCTCACCCCAGACTGCGGCATGAACGTGCACCACAAGTGCCAGGGGAAGGTGGCCAACCTCTGTGGCATCAACCAGAAGCTCTTGGCTGAGGCCTTGAACCAAGTCAGCCAGGTAGGCAGGTGCCATGGGACCCTGGACACAGGGCTAATCCAAGAATTTAGGAGCTGGGCTTATTTTCATAGGAAGTGTTACAGCAGCTGCTCTTGGTATAAGGGTGAACTAGGGGACCCCAGAGTTGAGTGTTGGGACAGTTTGAGCAAAAAAAAAAAAGGGGTGTGTGTATGTTTGGGAGTGCATATGCATTTGGGTAAGTAAATGTACCTGTGTGAGGTGTGCATGTATGGGGGGGTGAATATTGTACATGTGTGTATGAGTGTGTACACACGTGTGGAGTGTGTGCACATGTGTATGTTTGAATGCATACAGAGTGTATAGATGAGTATGAGCACATGTGTGATTGGATGCGGGTAGAGTTCAACATCTAAAATTGGCAGAGTAAATGAGAAATGACATTAACACAAATGCAAATTTACTGTAAGTGACTGGGAAAGTAGGCTTTGATAGCTAAAACTTGGATTTGTGATCAGACTACGAAGCCCTGCCAGTCTGCTAGAGGGAAGAGGTGGGGAGAGAGAACACTTGGCCTGGGGTCATGGGCTGTGCTCCTGTTGTCTCCCAGGGGTGCTGAGGGTGGGCTCAAGCTGGGGCTGTCCTTGCTGTCCCCCAGGAGTATTGAGGGTGGACTTACAGCTGGGGCTGCTGCTAGCACAGGAGTCCTGACTGTGGTGGCTGACCCAGTGCCTTGTCTCCCCTCTGCAGAAATCTACCCGGAGACAGGACTCAATGTCCACGGAGCCTGTGGGGATCTACCAGAGCTACGAGAAGAAAGGCGTCTCTGGGGATGATGCCCCAGGTGAAGCTGGGGCCCCTACCCCTGCTGATTCTTCTGTCCCCCACAAGAGCTCAGAACAGGGCCCATCCTCTCTCCCACTGCCCAGTGAGTCCTAGGAGGCACCACCAGTGGGGAGTGAGGCCCATGCCAGGGCTCCCTGCCCCCAAGGAAGGAGCTGGGTGGTGCAAGCTGAGATGTGAGTCTGAGATACCCTGTCTTGGCTAGACAACAGCGGGACTTATGGCAAGATCTGGGAAGACAGCCGCGCTTGCCACTTGGACAACTTCACCTTCCACAAGGTCCTGGGAAAGGGCAGCTTTGGGAAGGTAAGTGATGTGTCTGCGGCTCTGGGGTAGCTAAGGGACCCAGAGGCGGGCGCCTACTCCCCCACCCCACCCTCTGCCCTCACTGAGCTGCTTCCTGGCTGGGTGGCCGTGGCCTTTGCCCGGCCCGCCCTGCCCAGCGTTCCTGCCTGCACTAGGTGATGCTTGCGGAACTCAAGGGCAAAGGCAAGTTCTTTGCCGTCAAAGTCCTCAAGAAGGATGTGGTGTTGGTCGACGACGACGTGGAGTGCACCATGGTGGAGAAGCGGGTGCTGGCGCTCGCCTCTGAGAACCCCTTCCTCGCTCAGCTCTTCTGCACCTTCCAGACCAAGGTGCCCCGGCAGCCCTGTCTCTTCCAGCCCCACAGCCCAACCCCTCTCAGCCTGACCCTCTGCCCCTGCTCACTGGCCCCACCTGCCCACCCATTGCAGGAACACCTGTTCTTTGTGATGGAATTCCTCAACGGGGGAGATCTGATGTACCACATCCAGGATAAAGGGCGCTTCGAGCTGTACCGGGCCATGTACGCTGGGGCCCTGAGTGTGGGAGGAACCCTGGCCCAAGGGCCCTTGGCCACTCTGTCCCCACCCCTGGCCCTCCTTCCTGCTCCCTGAAGAAGCCAGTTCTGTGCTGAGCTGGGTTGGTATGGGGTCATCCAAGTGCCGTACTGTGCTATTCCCTGTGTGTGTGCCCCCAGCTGTGTACAAAGTGGCTTCCTTTGAGCGCTCCTTGGGTAGTTTTCTGCCTGGGCTTCCAGTCCTATGGTCCACAGAGCTGCTTGCAGTAATTCCTGCCCCACCCAAGGGGTGCGAGTGTGAGGCCCTGGGCAAAGACCCAACTGGCCCGCAGACCCTCCTGATGATGGTTGCCTTCCTGCAGGTTCTACGCAGCTGAGATCATCTGCGGACTGCAGTTCCTACACAAAAAAGGCATCATCTACAGGTGCAGACCCTGGGCTGGGGAGTGGCTCTTGCAACGGGGGAAGCAATGGCCCTGTCACAGTGTCTGAGATGTCCCGAGCAGGGTCCAGCCTAGCTGTGGATCTAGTGCTATTGGGGGATCTGTCTGTCCCTGAGTGTGTGCCTATCCCTCCCACGGCCTGCTAGGACTTCTCGGGGCCTCTCAGCTGAGGCTGGCCTAGCCCCAGGAACTGGGACTTGTTCCACTTGAGCCCACCAGTCCTTCGCTGAAGTGCCTTGGAAGTAAGGTCAGCTTCCACCAGAAGGGACCATTTCTGCAGGGTTACGTTTGGTAGATGATATGGGCCCAGGCTATGGTAGGATAAGATGCACCCACCAGCAAGATTAGGGCAAGAGGTGTAATCAAGTGAGTGCATAGCCACTCCTTGTGACCCAGAGTGGGTAAAGCATGTGTGTGCTGGACTCACCTGTGCCCAGGCTCCCCAGTAAGCCCAATAGAATGTATGTGCCCCACGTCCCCCCTATTCTGGTTCTCCTTCCCATGTGTATTAATCCACCTACTCAGGTACTGAATTCTGTGTGAATTAGTCTCTACCTTCCTGGAAATCAGACTGGTCTGGCACTGGATAGGGACCACGGCATCTTTGAGCCTCATTGTGGGTTTCCAGAAGGAGGATAGAGCGTGTTTGGCATTTAGCACATAGTAGGTGACTTGTAGGAAACATTATAAAGAGAGTGAGCAAGCGAGAGTTAAGAGTGCCCATATGTGGTTTCATCCAGTGGCTCACCCCCCAGAGGGCCTTTACAGCCAGGTCTGGGCCAGGCTGAAGCCAGAAGGCTGGAATTCCGTCTGGGTCTCCCATGTGAGTGCAGGGGCCAGATCTTGTGCCATCTTCCATGGCTTTCCCAAGCACATGAGCAGGAATGTGGGGGTGCCAGCATTGTAGGTGACATGGCTAAACTCGTTACCATACAGCACCAGTCCTGGAGCACCTGTTTTTAGCACCCTTTTGACCTTCCAAGCCCTCTTGTCTTTCTCATTCCCTTGTGTCCTAACAGAGAGTCCTAGACTCCCAGGGCCGAAGGCGCGCGCGTGGGTAGCAGGGTTAGGAGGGAAACTAGTCCCTGATGGAGCTCCTCCCCTTCTCCACTCCCCATAGAGACCTCAAGCTGGACAATGTGCTACTGGACCGAGAGGGCCACGTCAAGATCGCCGATTTTGGGATGTGCAAGGAGAACATGTTTGGGGAGAACCGGGCCAGCACCTTCTGCGGCACGCCTGACTACATTGCCCCCGAGGTGGGCAGACACCTTGCCCCTGCCTCTATGGGGTGGCCAGGGAAGGCTTCCCCAGGAAGCAGAGGCCTGGCTGGGCTCAGACTTGGGGAGGTAGGGGAAGAGGAGAGCTGCTGACCTACCACCCCTGCTCCAGATCCTACAGGGCCTAAAGTACACGTTCTCAGTAGACTGGTGGTCCTTTGGGGTCCTGCTCTATGAGATGCTCATTGGCCAGTCCCCTTTCCACGGGGATGATGAGGACGAGCTCTTCGAGTCTATCCGTGTGGATACTCCGCACTATCCCCGCTGGATCACCAAAGAGTCCAGAGACATCTTGGAGAAGGTAGGGTCCTGGGCCAGGCTGGGAACTGGAGCTGGCTGAACCTGAGCCAGGCTGGGGATGGGAGCTGCAAGAAAGTGAGAAGGCAGTGTCCTCCTGTCTAGGCCTGATGCCCTGGGGGCGTGGCCTTCCACCAGGTTCCCCTTCATCACCCTGGTGTGGTGACTAAGTGCCCAGGGTCAAGAGGTAGTCAGACTTGAGACTGAACCCTGCCCTGCCTTGGGAGTGGCTAAGGTCCTTTTTTAGTCATTAAAAAAAAAATCTATCAATTTGAAAGGAACAGTTGGAAACTTGGGGAGGAAACAGATACCTTGCACCTGCTAGTTCACTTCCCAAGTGGCCAGAACAGCTGAGAAGAGGCCAGACTGAAGCCCAGAGCGTGGAATTCCATGTAGATTTCCTGCTAGGGTGGCAGGGACCCCAAGGACTTGGCCTGTCATCTACTGCTACTTTCCCAGGCATATTAGCAAGGAGCTGGATTGGAAGTGAACCCACCAGTGCTCTCATAGGATGCCAGGCGGTGATTTATTTACCCCACTGCATTACGATGCTGGCCTCTCCCTAGCAGGTCACTTAACCTCCAGAAGCTGCCTCACAGAGTTGTTGGGAAGAAAACACATAGGGTATTCAGATCAATAGTTAATACTCAGTAAGTGACCTAGGCTGTACTAGTGGGGCCCACCACATCCCCACCCAGGGGTCATGGAGCAGCACAGACTAGGAAGGCTAACTCAGCTCCCGGCTTCCCTGGCGTGGGCTGCAGCGCTGGTCAGGGGCCACCTGGGCACCTGCTGGGGATTTGCCCAGGGTGCACTTCTGCCTGACCCCTGGATGCTAATCAGACACCTGCTGGGTTGCAGCTGTTTGAGAGGGACCCACTCAAGAGACTGGGAATGACAGGAAACATCAGAGCCCATCCCTTCTTCAAGACCATCAACTGGATCCTGCTGGAGAAGCGGAAGGTTGAGCCCCCCTTCAAGCCCAAAGTGGTAAGTGACCCCCCTACACACCCCATTCTGTCTTCTGGACTGGCACCAGTCTTCTCATGTCTGTCCCCGCTTTCCTTTCCCAGAAAGCCTCTTTCCCTGGTCTCCCCTAGAATGCCCAGTCACGACCTGTCTTCTGTTGGTCATTCAGCAAACACCAGAAACTGCATACAAATCTAGGCTTTTTCTTTCTTTTTTTTTTTTTTTAAAAAAGCATTTCTGTTCTTTTTTGAAAAGTAGAGTGACAGAGGGAGAGATCTTCCATCCACTGGTTCCCTCCACAAATGCTTGCAATAGCCAGGGCTAGCCCATGCTAAACTCAGGAGCCCAGAGCTCCATTTAAGTCCGCTGTGGGTAGCCATTTTCTGCTTTCCCTAGCATATTAGCCTGGAGCTGGAACAGAAGCAAAGCAAGTGGGACCCAAAACCATGGTTTCAATGAGGGCTGCTGGTGTCACACACATCCCTGGACCAGTGCGGTGTTTCAGCACACACCCTGCACACAGATTCCTCTTAGTGTAGATTCTCCAGTGATGGCGGGAGGTAGCGGGGACTGGACTGGGCATTAGAGCTAAGACCTCACTCTCTCCATCCTTCCTCACATCCATCTAGCCATCCAATATGCTTTCCTGTAAGTACTGGAAATGTGCATGAATGATCATCTGTGGTAGCTGACTTCATGAGGAGCGCTGTCACAGCTACACATGCCCAGTTGTACCAGGGCAGCCTGCAAGGCTCCCTCGGGGGACACAGGGAAGGACCGACAAGGGCCAAGGGGCAAGGCCTACAGAGGCCTGCTAGGAGGCATCAGGGTAGGCAGTGGTCCCCCAGGGCCCACAGTCTACAGAGGCCACTGAGGAAGCAGGTCAGGGCCACAGGGATCACAGCTGTTTCTCACCTCTTCTGCCGCTGGGACACACTGGGCCCACTGGGCTGCCCAGGTGTGTGTGTTTTGCTGCTAGAGAGCTTCTCCCCTTCTCTGGGTCTCAGACTTGGATATCTCCTAGGCTGGCCCTGCTGTGAGGCAGGCAGCAGTGGGGACAGCCCTGGACTTTTTGCTCCGTGCTGAGCACATAGGGCATGTGTGGTGACCCACAGCCCCTATAAGGACCCCAGCACCAGCAGCGGATATACCAGCAAGTCCCGGCTGCATGAGTCATTGGGTTTTCCAAAGAGGACAGAAACCTGAATCTTTATGTTGTTTTGCCAGTTTTAAAGTGTTAGCTGGGTGTTTGGGCTAGCAGTTCAAACACATTGGAGTGTGAGTCTCACCTGTGGGTCTGTGACTCTCGCTTGCTGCTAATGTAGATCCTATAAGGAAGCAAAGATGACCCAGGAAGCTGGGCCCCTGGCACAGTGAGCGAGCTGGACCACATCGCCTGTTGCCAGCATCAGCCCAGCCTGAGGCACCTGAGGACTGAGCCAGTGCATGCAAACTCTGTCGCTTTGTCTTTAAAGAATGATGTATTTATTTATTCATTCATTTGAAAGGCAGAGAGGGGGGTGGGGAGAGAAATCTTCCATCCATTGGCTCACGTCCCAAAGTAGCTAGAACTGAGGCTTCCCACATGGTTGGGCAGGGCCCTTGTGCTTGGGCCACCCTCCACTGCTTCCCCAGGCATATCAGCAAGGAGCTGGATGGGAAGTGGGGCAGCTGGGATTTGATCTGGAGCTCTGACAGTGGATTCTGGCATAGCAAGCGATGGCTTATCTTGCTACACCGTAAGTCTCTCAGATAAAAAAAAAAAGTGTTTGAAAATCTTGTCTCAGATTCCATTAAAGCCCAGTGCTGGCCAAACTAATGGCACTTGCTGAGCTTGACCCGAAGACCAGCAGCTGGGAGACTCAGCTCACAGTTGGACCTGGCATAGGCAGTCTGTTGACACAGTGGTGCGTGTATACCCCAAGGCAGCTGTCCCTGTGGAATGTCATGGCTGTCACCCTTCCTGTGATGTTTTCACACCTTTAAATACATGGAAACCAACCTCAGCATGTGGGCCAGCCTGGGCATAGAGGCCACTGCTGCCAGGCAGGCTCCAGAAATGCTCAGGTAATCTTGATGGGCCCCAGGTTCCCTCATCTCATTGGGCACACAATGCCCACCTCCACCTGCAGTGGGGCTTGCTCTGGCCCCTGGGACCCTTCTCAGGATGGGCAGGCCTGGCGAGCTGTAGGAGCCACTCACCCACCTGTGCCCACTGCCCACAGAAAAACCGGGGCGACTTCAGCAACTTTGACCAGGAGTTCCTGAACGAAAAGGCCCGCCTTTCCTTCAGTGACAAGACTCTCATTGACTCCATGGACCAGTCGCCATTTGCCGGCTTCTCCTTCGTGAACCCCAGATTGCAGCACCTCCTGGCATAGTGAGACTCTCAGACACACTTGTCCTCCCCACCTGAGGGACTGCTCCCTAGCCCCCAGCCCCACACAGGCTGACCGGACCTTCCCCTCCGTGCCTGTGTACCTGCCAGTTCCCCACCATGCTTACCCTGCCCCCTGAGGGCCCTGGCTCCTGGCTGGCGGGGCTGTCATGGTACTTCTGTGAACTTGTGTGAATTTGCTTTTCCTCTACACTCAGAGGGAAATTGTAAATCCTGTGTTTCATGACTTGAATGCAGTTATCTATTGAAAATATATGTTATATATATATACTTATATAGATGATAGGCTGTATATATTGCTCAGTGGAGAAAAGCGTGGGGGCTGCTAACGTGTTGATCTTTTGAAGTAGATATGTATGTGTGTGTATATATATATATATATGTGTGTGTGTGTGTGTGTGTGTGTATGTACACATGTGATCGCAAAAGACCAGGAAAGGAGCTGCCGCGGGACGGACCCCCGGGTTCTCCGTTCTGCCCATCTGAATAAACAATGCATGGTACTGACCTGGCTGTGGGGACGTGCATTTGTCCCAGGAAGCTGACGGTGGCTGCCCCTGCCCTGGGGGTCGGGAGGGAGCTGCAGGCCAGCCAGCCACAGACAGACAGACACAGCCCTGCCTGGGCCTTCATGCAAATGTGTCTGTATTTCTGGGTTTCCTGTAGCCCCAGGCGGCCCTGTTTGATAACAGGAAGAGCTGGGACCAGCCTCTGCTTGTTATTCTGAAGTGAGAGGGGGATTACAGAGAAGCCAAAGGCCTGGCCCCACCCCAGGGGCGTTGGGGTGGGGGTGGGCAGGACAGGGGACCACTCATCCTGTCTGGACTCAGGTGCTGGCCACGTCAGTCATTTAAAGATTTATTTCGTTTTTATTTGAAGGGCATATTTACAGAGAGAGGCGAGACAGCTTCCATCGGCTGATTCACTTTCTGAGATGGCCACAGTAGCCAGGGCCTGCCCAATCTGAAGCCTGGAGCTTTTTTCAGGCTTCCTTCATGGGTGCAGGGTCCCTAGCACTTGGGCTGTCCTCTGCTGCTTTCCCGGGTGAATAAACAGGGAACTGGATCAGAAGTAGAACATCTGGGATGCTAGTGTTGCAGCTGGAGGCTTAGCTTACTACGCCATGGCACCAGCCCCTTGACAATAATTCTCATTTGGCATGACCTCAGCCATAAAGTGGAGACAAGGCACAGAGGTAACCTGTGTGACTGCCACCTTGCTCCTTGCTCCTGCCCAGAGGAGGGTGAGTTCTGGTAACTGGTTCTCAGGAGCCCTTGCCTGCCTGAGGCAGGGAAGCTGGTGGGAGGGGAGAGAAGCAGAGACAGCCAACAGTGAGTACCCTGGACACGGGTGACAAGCCAGCACACCCTGCCCCAGGTGCAAGTAGAGAGCAGAGACTCCAAGACACAGCCTGAGCTTGAGCCAGCTCCACTCCCTTCACCTTCCAATACTTCTCCTCTGTCCTCCACCCCCACCCGGTTTTTCCTTCCACACCAGTCTGAGACAGAGGGACAGAGCCCACCCCCAACGCCTGTCAGCTAGCATCTGATTGGCAACCAGGCCTCCAACTTGCAGCAAGTTCATTTTTCTGGGCTGAGGTACAAATTTCCATTGCTGGAGAGGACGGAATGGGGTGGAGCCGGCGCTGGCCAGAAGAAGGGGCTGCAGGCATGGAGGCACCAGGCTCCCCCACCCCCAATCAGGAGAGGCCCCACGGTGCCTCCCCATCTCTGTCCTACTGTGTGAGTGGCCAACTGGGTGGGTCAGGGGGACACCCGGGAGCAGGGAAGCCCCCAGAGGTAATGCCCGCTCCTCAGGCCCTGGCTTGGGCTGACAGCTTGGCACGGGCTGCTCTGGTGACACAGGCTTCCAGATGAGCCTGGGGAGGCTGCATCCTTGGCCTGTGCCTGAGACCCCCACCCCCCACCCCACATGGCTATGGAGGAAACACTCTGCCTGGTGTTAGAGCTCAGAGGCAGAGCCTTGGCAGGGGCGCAGTTTCCCCAAGTTTGGAATGCAGCCAGGGGCGGGCACGGTGTTCAGCCGGAGTGGGGGAAGAGCAGGGGGAGAAGGTGGTGCTGTGGACAAGGAGTCTGCCATTGCTGCTTGGCTCTGCCCACCATACTCTGTGCTAAGCTCCTTTGTTAGGCCTCAGTGCCCCTGTCTGTTCAATGGGCCCATCCATCCCTGCTGCTCCTGGCCTGGGCCTTGTTTCTGAGCAGATGCTAGCACCCACTGGGCCCAGCTGAGCTCCAGGAAGAACGAGGGCCTGGAGCTGTGGGTTCCCTGTGTGGTATCCCCAAAGAGGCAGGCCACACAGTTCCAATGCCTTTCCCAGCCCATTAAGCATTGGCCAGGGCTGACCTGGTGGCCTCAGGAAATTCCTTGCATGGCAGGGCCCCAGCCACATGTTCACTGAAAGCCAGGAGCAGGCATGTTGCCTCCCCACTCTGCCCCACACCTACCAAGTGGATCCACAGGCAGCAGCCAGCTGGGCTGCCACTGCAGGGACCAGGAGGTACAATGCCCAGCTTGGGGCTGGGCAGAGGAAGCCAGCCACTGTTGCCAGAGGAGGGGCCTGAATTCTGAGCTGGAATGTTCTGGACTGCATAACCTCAGTGAGTGACGGAACCTCCTGGAGGCTTGGTTTCCTCTGTTGGAGAAATGGGGGTGATGGTGCTGCTGTTGCTGGTGACTTGGGATATCCCAGCGTACAGCACAGGCTCAGCACACAGCAGGTTCTTCCCCAGCAGCAGATACCGTAAGCCACACTCCCCACTCCTCTCTGAGGGGCGACACTTGCTCAGAACCTGGCCACTGCACACAGGACTCCCGAGGTCTGCTGGCTGGACTGGAGGTGGGCAGGTTGTCCCCCTGATCCAGGGATTCCCATAGGCAGAGCTTTCCAGGAGCCTTGCCCACAGACCTAAGAGGTGGCTCAGCATGCCCAGCACTGCCAGTTGGAGCTGCAAAACCTGGAAGTGTGGAAACTGCCTCAGAACCCAGAGGTCAGCAAAGACTGGGCTGATTCCACTCTGCCACCACCTGCTCACCTGGGGACACGCCCTTAGCCCTTGCCTAGGAACACACGCCAGGGCTGCACAGGTGAAAGATAACCAAGTTACTGTGTAGGTGGACACAGGGATGGGCAAATGGGCTGTCAAGTCCCTCTAGCCAGTAGCTCTGAAATTGAGAAAGCAACGTACCATGAAGACACAAAGCTACTACTACAAGTTCTGACAGACTGGTCTGGTCCTGGCTGAGACTACATGGAACTCAGTGCCCAGGCTACCCTGGCCCAGTGATCCAGTAATCACTGCCCGGGCTTGGGCATGGGCATCAGGATTTTGAAAGCATTTGCCCTAGGAGTTTTAACAAGAATGGCAAGACCTGGGGATCTGCGTTTTGTCAAGTACTTCCAGTGGATACAGGGAATGCTGTTGTGACAAGACCATGTCCTAAATGGCAAAGTCATCTGCCAGTTAGACCCAACCAGTGGGCAGGGAAGGTCCCCCAGCTCTGCCACACCAGACCACAAGTGGGAGATGAAGGTGCTGGCTGTGCTCCTGCGCCCTCTCGTGGCGTCTGACTTGCAAGCCCCATGGAGTGGGCAGAGAAGAGAGGTACCCTAACCCCCAGTCCAGCCAAGGGCAGAGGGTTTGATCCTGGGATGGTACTGAACTCCTCACCTATCTTGGCTTGCCAGTCCCTGGGGAAAATAAGCCAGCAAAGCCAAGCACAGAGGCTCCAAGTCACAGAGGACAGAGGGCAGGGTAGACAGTGGCCCTTGGCCCCAGCAGTGTTTTTTTTTTTTTTTTTTTTTTTTTTTAACGTGGGTTTCTGGGCTGCCCAGAAGCCAACTCCATCCTCTGCCATCATCCCAAGGTCACAGCCACATCTCCCCAACTTGTCCCTCATTTAGGAGTGGCACCAACTAGGAGGCCCCTGTCTTCACCAGCTGCTAACCACAGGAAGTAAAAGGGCAGCTATGGCAGCTGGGGTGAAGGGGGAGGGCAGAGGAGTTGACTGGGGCCTTCCTTCAGCTGGGGCCTCCTCCATCCTCTTCAAGCACCATGGGAGCCACGACTTGTGACTATGCCCAGCGGGCGGCAGCCGCCTGGTGCTGGGCTATTCCAGTTCCTGCTGGTCCTGCCCTGCCTCTCAGCACTTAATAGTTCCTTGGTGTGGGCCCAGCAGAGATGCACTTAGCTGAGCCTTCAGGGCCCTGGTGGTGGCAAAGACAGCCAGTTCTCAGAGCAGCAGGGGGTGGGGGTGCAGCATCAGCCAGACCCAGGTGGAAACAGTACTGTGAGATCGGGGTGCCCCTTCTGAGTGAGGCCAGTTGTCAGCAGCTGCTGGAGCCTCAGACTGGCAGGAAATTGAGATTTCAGCAGCATTCTCCCAGCCAGGCCTCGCCAGGGTCGGGGTAGAGGGCATGGAGAAGGTCCCCGTTTCCCTCTCTGTCCTTGCTGTGCAGTGCACTGGCTGGAGGCTTCTGCACACTGCCCACAGCTCAAGGAACGGAGACAGGGGTGCAGCTTGCCACTGATGCCATCTTGGGGTGATGGATAGGAGCAAGCAGGCTGTAACGGACTCCTCCGGCCCCAACTGCACAGCTTCCAGTTGCATGCTGGGAGATGGACAGGTGTTGCTCAGAGCATGAGCATCCCTGGCCCTCGGTGTGTATGGCTCCAGGAGCCCGTCTTGGTGATGCTCAGTGTCAAGGACCATATGGAACATGTTCTCTGTGTCACCTGCAGCAGATCCTCCGAGCAGCCTTGCTGGGCAGCAGACGCTACCCTTCCCAGTGTATCAATTAACTGGAAGTGTCCCCCAGGATTTCCTCCCCCTTCCTGTGCCGTCCTGCCCCTCATCCTGTGCCCAGCCTCCTGTGGTGGGCACAGGGTAGAGAGCAAGAAGGAACAAAGTGGCTGTCAGTGCTATGGCAGCCGCAGCAGCAGGTGACAGGCCCAGGGCCCTCAAGGATTGGGCTGGAACCCGGGTCTGGAATAAGACAACTGGTGCAGCCCTCCCACCAGAGAGAAGGGTTGGCCCAGTGCAATAACCTACTGGCTAAATCGTTGCCTTCCATCTGCCAGATTTCATATGGATGCTGGTTCGTGTCCTGGCTGCGCCACTTCCCATCCAGCTCCCTGCTTGTGGTATAGGAAAGCAGTCGAGGATGGCACAAAGCCTTGGGACCCTGCACCTGCATGGGTGACCCAAAAGAAGCTTCTAGCTCCTGGCTTCGGATCGGCTCAGGTTCAGCTGTTGCAACCACTTGGGGAATGAACCAGTGGACAGAAGATCTTCCTGTCTCTCTTTCTCTCAGTATATCTGCCTTTCCAATAAAAAAAATTAAAAACATTTTTAAAAATACACACACTTAGAAAGAAAAATGCCTGCTTCCATGCAGAAATGAATCTTGTTAACTTCATTGTTCTTAGAAGCTTCCTATTTTTTTTTAAGATTTATTTATTTTTATCGGAATGGCAGATATACAAAGA